ATTCTGTAGCTGAGCACTGAGATGACTGAAGATGTGACTTTGCTAAAAGAACAAATAAGTATGTGCCTGAAGCATGATCATGTATCTGAAGCTTCTCCTGATAATAAGCTTGGAACTGATGGTAGAGACAGAATTATAAAAAATTACTCATCATACAAGGATCAGACATGAGTAATTAGGATGAGGTGTTCACCTGTCTTCATATACAACTTGTGAGATAATTTTAGGTGACACATCCCCAGTCAAGTTTTAAGAGTTACAGAGCTGCGTTTTGAATTAGTCTGTTTTTAAAAAAAAACACTTAGCAATCATAAGAAAACAAAATTACGCATTCCAGACTCCTCTGAACAGTGTTATGAAAAAGAGAACAGGAATTTTACTTGGCCTAAAAAATTACTACAGCACATAATCTATAGGATGCTCAAGATCAGTCCTTTATCCTCTCATTTTCCATTGCACACATTCTAATACCTGCTTCTATTGATCTGACATGCAGAAAACTAGGACAGCTAAAAAAGAATTACCTAGTACATGCAGCAGCATGGCAGGTGTGATCTACCTTGAGGGTGATCAGACAGCTACAGCCAAAAACTAGGACATACGTGTTTGCCAGGAGGAATTTCGGAATGGACGCTGCGTTCTAAGTAAAGACAAGTAAAAAGACAAGTGCACAATCTGTCATTGCTGTCTGCACTGTTTCTTTCTTCTAAGGGCAGCTCTCTTCAAAAAGCCCCACATCAAAAATCAGCAACCCAAAATCTCAGATAGGGTCACACAGTCCCAGCAGGGGAGATGGGATGGGACCTCTGGACCTTGCCCTGTACAACCACCCTGCCCAAAGCAGGGTCCAGTCTCTCTGCTAGGGATGCTGAAGACAACTAGCAACAGAGGTAAAATTTCTCACTTTTACTAACTCTCATGTATTTTCATGGTTATGAACACAGGAAAATTGCCATTGATCCATCTTAGAGATACTCAGGCCTTTCATCCATTTAAGCATTTTTTCTGACTGCTCTGATCATGTGTTAGAATACTATAGAGGGTTTATTTTAAAAAATTCAAGCTTGTTTTGGAAACATCATTAATGAACATAACTGTACTCGGTAGACTTGGTTGCACAATAGGAAGTAATAGATGTTTGTAAATTATTTGTGGCACCACATGAGAATTATGAATTTGAAAAGCATTTATCAGCACATATTCTTTTCATAAGTGAAGGATGAAAGTACTAATAACTGAGGCTATCAGTACTGTTAGCAGTTGACCATACCACCTGAATCCTCTAAAAAAGTAGGACAAACACCGAAAGAAAAGTAGGACATTTAATCACTCCACACCACCTGGAACATTCAGCACTGCATCAAGTGCACATACTCAGCACACTGAGATGCACTGGACAGATGAACCTGGAATATTTAAGTGGGAAGCAATGGCTACTGTATGAGGTTATGCCTGAAATATTCATCAGGAGAAGATAATTTAATGTTTTCTTACTTAAAGAAAAAAAAAAATCCCATATCTTCTACTCTGCAAAATAAAGGGAAAAGAAAACCCAAAATATAATAGGGATACTAATCCCTAGGCTTTAATCAGCTTTTCTTATCACTAACAGCAGAGTGTTTTCTGGACCATCTTCTGCATCAACCTGATTTTGGCAAAACATACTTGCATACCCAGAATCCCAAATTTGGCCTCAAGCAGCCACCTTATGTTACAATTCATATCCCATCCTGATATTCTTAAGCAGAAGGATTTGGACAAGCTTTTTACAAAAAAGAAAAAGAAAAAGAAAAAGAAAAGAAAAAGAAAAAGAAAAAGAAAAAGAAAAGAAAAGAAAAAGAAAAGAAAAAGAAAAAGAAAAAGAAAAAGAAAAAGAAAAAGAAAAAGAAAAAAAAAGAAAAATGAAAAGAAAAAGAAAAAGAAAAAGAAAAAAAAGAAAAAGCCATTTTATTGACTTTGATTTTTTTGAATTGCTAAAATGGCATTTTGTAAGAGGGAAAAACATTCAGAAAAAAAAAAAATTCTGTCCAGTGTTACATTCATTACCCTGACTCACTGGTCCCTGTCAGAGTGCATCCTTGCTTTCCTGAGTCTGCAAACTGGGGTCTCTGTCAAGAGTGGTCTACAAAAGCAGCATTGCTCCCTCACATCCCTTATTTAGCCAAAAGATTGTTAGGAATGGCCAACATCCCTCTTCCTCTCTTACAGGATAGGGTGTCTCTGAATAACTCTGCACTTTTATGAAATTTCTGTGGCTGTTCACCCTCTCTCATGTGTCATGAGAAACTTTGGGAAAAGGTGCAGGGAGCCCCCAGACAAGTGGGAAGGGGACAGTCATCAGGACAGTGATTGGGAAGGAACCAAGGTGCCATTTGTAAAAAGAACATTAGAAATGGATTGTTAAGGGTTTCAGGATCTGCTGTTGCACCAGGGGCTCACCACACTGGAGCTTTAGCTGAACTACAAAGTGTGTTTCCTAGTAGACACAGGAACTTCTCTAATTTCCATTTTATGTCAAAGGAGGAACAATTGTTCAAATGTTCTTTTGGTAAGTGGGAAAGGTGAGCAGGTGCATTTTATTGAACCATAATTAGTGAATGTGGGTGTGAGTATGTGAATTCCCACAGTGTGTGTTATCTTCATAGCTGCCTTTGCCCATTCCCCTCAAACACCTTGTACAGAGCTGGGAGAAGACAGCAAGAATGAGACATGAACAGGAAGTTGGCTTGTGTCCGCTGAGTAGTTTTCTACATTTTCTCTGTGTAAGAATATTCATTGCTTTGGGGTTTTTTTTTAACCCAGTTTAAGACTCTGTACTGACTGGGTGCAGCAAAATGGAGAACTCATGAGCCAGGTGAGTTCTCTGGCTTGCTCAGATCCTACTGCTGAGGAGCCAGCTCCTCAAGAAGATGATGAATGGAGGGACCAGGCTGGGAGAAAAGCTGTGGAAGAGTCTGCTTCATATCCCTGCCCCTGCCAGCTTGGTAACGATGGGCTGCCATGGGGTGCTGCAGGCTGCTCCTCCCTGAGAGCTGAGGGTGCAGAACCTCAGGGGTTACTTGAGGTCATTGGGGTCATTTGGGCTGACCTGAGGTCATTGGAGTGCCTGGTGGGGATTGCTTGAGCCCATTTTGGGGTTACCTGAACAGGAAGCACAGTTAGCACAGACACTGCCTTTGGATTTTGCTGTTCAGAACATCCAAACAGAGCTGCAGGAACAGCATCCAGGACAGCTGGATATGGGTAGACCCATCACACACAGGTCAAGGTCTCCAAAGCCCCAGAAATTTGCACTTCTCAACTGGCGGAAAAGGATAGGTGTGACATTCACATTCTCTGGACAGAGAGACATAATTCTGTTTCTCAAGAGAAGAAAATAAAACAATCTTTATCTCTGCTCCTTTGTTTTCCCCATGTGGAATGTGGTATGGGGATTGTTTACCTGAAGTGATTGCTGGATTGGATTCTGGTGAAGGTTGTTTGGGTTCAGTGACAAATTGGACCCAGCTTTGCCTCGGACTCTCAGCAGAGAGCCACGAGTTTGTTAATTGTTAGATAGGTAAGTAAGAAGTAAGTATGTAGAATAGTATAGTATCTCTTTAAATAGTATATTAATGTAATATAGCATATTTTTAATAAAGCAGATCCTTCAGCCTTCTGATCTGGAGACAGACATCATCATTTCTTCCCGTTGGGGGTCACCTGATTTCCAATAGATGGGAGACCTCGGCTATCAGTAGCCATAGACAAAGACTTCTAGTGATTAATTGGTGAATATGAACTGTCATTGTCTACTTTATTCTCTGTATTTACTTGCCACACTTGGTGCTGGGACCAGAGGTGGAAAAGTCAGGAGGAGAAGCTTCAAATTTTCCAGATGTTAAAAAGGGTTAAGTTAATAATAACTAGGGTTTGTAAAGACGAATTGAAAAATAAGAAGAGGAGGGATTGAGAGGAAAGCTCATGTCTTTACAAACAATTCCATGGGTGAAGGTGTGGGTGTTAACATCTTTAAAATGGGTCTTAACGTCCCTCCTGGGGGCAGCAGGTTTGTTGCAGAGCCCAGACAGTTTGACTTCTCAAACAGACAAGGGTCTGCACAAGCTTGAGACTTTGGAACTTCGGGGTAGCATGACAGGTTCAAGGGGGGATAAGTTGCAAGTGGTTTGGGAATGTTTTCCCAAGAGGGGAAAGGAAGAGGGTGAGATGCAGCCAGGAGTACAGGATAAATTAGGCTGCACCCTCCAAAACCTCGAGAGAGAAAACCCCGTGGATGTGCCCCGGTGGACTCTCTCCCCAGGACTCCTCTGTCTTCTTTTGGACATAAACTTCTGGCATTTGTGGCTTTTCCTGACAAAAGTTTTACTGAAATCCAAAAAGATTACATGTACTGGCTTCCCTTGATCAACTGGGGGGGGGGGGGGGTTACCTTGTAAAAAATAGTTATAGAGAATAATAGTTACAACCTAATGCTAGGAGAGGCTCTCACTAGGCTCTCCCAAAGCTTTTTTCCATGATGAGGTCAGATCTTGCCCCTTGTTTACGTTTTCACCTTCCCCTGGCAGGATGTTCATGCTGTTCAGGCATCCTTGTGATATTGGTGTTTTCCATGCGTGATTGGAGATATTTCTCCAGGTTCTTATGGCTTAAACAGCAAACCCCCCCCCCCCCCTACCTCCTGGACAGCATTTCTTCTAACTAAGTATTCTGGACTATTTTAGGCTTGTTGTTTGTTTGTGATTTTGTTTTACTTGTGAGTTTTGTTTTAAGTTTCTTTGGGGTTGTTGTTGTGATTTGTTTGCATTTGGTGGTTTTGGCAGGTTTGGGGTTTTCTCGGGGTTTTTTTATGGGTTTTTTTTTGTGCGGGCGGGGGCACCACCGTGGATATTTTTATTGATGTGGAAAAAAGACCTGCTCGCTTCTGTCCCCTGCTCCATCCCCACCTGCCCGTGCTCCCGGCAGCGCCGGCAGCCCATGGCAACAGCTCCTCTCGGGGGCTGGAGCGAGGCAGCGAGCGCCGGGGCTCTGGGAAGAGTGAAAACTCTTTTCCTTGGATTCGCGGTGTTTGTTGTTTGGTTGTTGTTTGGTTGTTTGGTTGTTTCCGTGCCGTGCGGCCGGCTGCGTGCGGAACGCCGGGGCCCGGGAGCCGTTTCCAGCCGGGCCGGGCCGGGCACGGCAGCGGCGCCCGGCGCGGCGGGGCACGATGGCGAAAGTGCTGGCGGCCCTCAGGCACCACTGGAAGAAATCCACCTTCGGAGCCTGTCTGCTGGGCTGGGGCGGACACTGGCTCTATGGGAAGCACTGGTAATGCCGGCTGGGGCCGGGCCGGGCCGGGCGGGAGGGAGAGATGGAGGAAGGGGAAGCGGCTAAAACGGGGGTCGCCTGTGGGAGCGGCCCGGCAGCCAGCGGGGATGGATCGCCCTCCCGCTCCAGCAGCCAGCGGGGATGGATCGCCCTCCCGCTCCAGCAGCCAGCGGGGATGGATCTCTCTCCTGCCGAGCAGCTGCGGCAGCCTCAGTGCCTCCTGCTGCATGCCCGCCTCGGCCGCGGTGTAAGACCGGGGCGGGTTCAGGCGGGAGGTTTAAACAGAGAGGATGTGTGGCTGGCATGAGCAGTGCTGGAGCCTCTCGGAGAGGAGAAGGGTTTTTGTCTTCTAACCTAAACAAGAATGCCATGAGCCACACGCGCGCCTTCAGCTTGCCTGCTTTGAGCCTGTGCAAGGATGAGTGGAGCCAGGCCTGCAGGGTGTGCTCAGCGTGCTGCTCCTGTGCCTGTTCCCACCCCTGTTTGCTGTAGCAGAAGTCCCTGTCTCTTTCCTGGGGCCTGGCACGGCAGCCTTGTGCTGTTGTCTTTGCTGTTGTCACCCACCCAGCTTGGAAGAAGCCTTAGAGCTGCTCCTCCCGTAAGTTATACCCGGTTGTGTCATTCCCACCGCTTACCTGTGGAGTAAGCGTGCCTTACGGTAAGTAAAATCCTCATTCGTGTTTTATAAAAGCTGAGTTTATATTTTAATCCTTGTCCTTCAAGGACATGCATTTGACTTAAAAGCGGATGTAGCCAAATTACTTTTAAAAACTGTTACTTTTGGTTCTGCTGCTTATTGTCACTGTCTTAATGATTTTTCATGGTTTAGTCAGGTTTTTAACAGTGCTCTTTTCTGCTTACATTGCAATGCTGCCAAAGCCTCGGTGGAAAAGTTAGGAAAATAAATCTGTTTATGTTGTTTTTATACTCTCTTCATATCCTTTTACCTAGGGACTTTGGCATTAAATCAAGCTTTGTTTTGTGTGGTACATCTGCTTCAGTGGCTTGCTTCCTGCCTGAAGCACGGAGGCTCCGTGTCCCCTTTGTACCTGTTGTGTCTGGGAGTTCTTGTGCCCATGTGCTGTTGGTTTCAGATGTACACTGTTTTCTTGTGTGGTGGCAGTGAAATTATCTTTGGATCACAGAGAATGTGGAGTGTGCAACAGGTGATGTGGTGGGGAATAAAGAGGACAATATGAAAGGCAAACAACCAGAAAGGGAATCTTTGGTACCTAAATTTTGGTGCATGGGGGTTGTTTGCCCCAAGTGTAGGCATGGTGCTTTAACCCACATGATGTACTGGGGGCAGAAAAATTTTGCATGTCCCATTCTCCAATCTCCCTATTATCTGTACAGGCAAATACTGCATTTCCTTAGGAGGCACTGGAAATGCAAGGCAGGAAATCCTGTGATGACAGACAGCTCAGTGAGACTTTGATGCAGGCCATAGCTACTGCTTTCAGAGTTCTGAACACTGTTTGGAAACACTGACAACTGTTTAGCAATTTCTGGGCCATTCCCTGCAGAGAGTTGTTTAATCCAGGTTAGAGAAGAACAAGGAACAATGAGAGCCTGGTGGCAGGAGTGTAAAGAAGAGTTCAAAGGAGGTCTCAACAGCCTTTTGTGATACTCTGTGAATGGTGAGGACCTTATCTTGTGGCAGGTGGACAGCAGGGAGTAGGCCAGGATGCCTCTCTGCAGGTCGTGGGGATGGCTTTTGGCGTGGGTGTTTTTGTACATTCCTTGTTCTCAGTTTCTGTCTGTGTCCCAGTTGTGCTGGGGAGCGGAGAGGTGCCTTTTGGCCCATGCACAGATGGCCACAGGCAATGCTGGGAGAGGTTAATGAAGGATCTGTAGGGGCTGTGTTGGCCCTGAGGCTTGTTGTTATCCTCATCAGAGGCTCAATTGCTGCACATGGCCTTACCTGACTAGACTGATATTTGCCCTTCAAGAACATGCTTAAAGTGTATGAGGTGTTGTGCTTTGGTTTCTGGCATCACAAATTCCTGATGAAGGGCTTTGCTTCAGCACAGCATTGGCTCAGGTTAACCTCTGACTTCCTGGAAGGAGCTGAGATGTTGGTCATTTATTTGCAGCTGAAGAAAATTGTTTGCTGTCCTGCATCCCTCTTTCCATCCTTGTGGGTTTTCTAAAATACTTCTCTTCTTCTAGAAGGTGATTTGCTTTTTTGACTTTTCAAGGATCCTTCTTTATTTGGATGCAGCAGCCATGATGCCTGCGTTAAGTGGAGCTATTGTAAATAACAATCTGTCCTGCAGGTAAATGGCAGCTCTTCTGTAGTCAGTCTCTCCAAGCTCACAGAGACACCAGTGCTCTGAAGTACTTCCTTAAGACTTTGGAGGATGCTGTATGGACAAGAAGAATGTTACCTTTTCCAGGTGTGTTCCCAGGGCCTCTTCCCTGCCTGGAAATGGATGTGGGAGTCCCCCTTGCACAGCTGTGCTGTGAAGCCTGGTGTGGATGCCCTTGTGTACCCTAAGGTGTAAAGGGAAGAGGGGCACTGGAGTGTGATGGATCATCATTGACTTGGTCTGAAGGTTGAAGAGCTGCTTAGTCCTGGTACTTTCTTCCTGCAGCATTTCATTTCTGGATCAGTGTTATTAGCCTTTCAGTTTGAGGGGTGTTTGTTCAAATACTGACTAATTTAAAAGTAAGGAGTTTTGGATGAGCAGGAAGAATTAAAGGAGGAAACTTTGTGCCTTTTTTCCCCCCTCTGCCATGAGTTATTCAGCCCTTCTGAGCATGTGATAGTGCAGAAGTCTCCTCTTCACAGGGGTGTCAGTCAGGAGGTGGCAAAGGTTTTTCATGTGTCAAATGATAGGAATTATGTCTGGTTGAACTTCTGTTAACTAGAACCCCATTGCCAGTCTTGCAAAGCCACAATGCATCTTAAAATTCCTTTTGCTCTCATAAAATGCTTTAAAAATCCATTGTCTTGCATTTGGATAGCAAATAGTCTTGTGCTATCTGAGAAGTAGGAGGATAACTCAGTGTTGCTACATGTGAGGTTGTCTGGATTGCATGAATTTATATATAAGGCTCATTTTAATCTATAGCATATCATGTTGCAGGTACTAGGGACTCTTAATTTAATATCCTAGATCAAAGCTTGCAGGGTATGAAGCTTGTCTGCTGTGTGCTCACACACAGAAACATGCTTCTGCTTAACACAGACAGGTGGGGTTGATTACAAAGAAAGATTGTTCTAAAATTTTCACCAAGTTTGGAATCCCTTCTCAACTTTATGTCCTGCGTCACCTTTCCTGAACTGAGCTGCAGATGTTCTTTGTATCCCCAGGGGGTGCAGTGAGTTACCAGCTCTGCCAAATCAGCAGAAATGAAATCTCCAGCATCATGGACATCAGCTGAACTGATTGTCAGATTTGACCAGACTTTTACTGTGATGTCACTGCATAAGTGATCATGACCAGGTCAGGATGGAGACCCTGGATATTCTACTGAGGCAGTGGACTCATCACATACTTAGTTTTGCTCTGTATATCTTAAAGTATTGACATTCTCAGTAGAAAATGCTGGCAAAGCACCTGAGCCTTTGACTGCCTGCCAGTAATCCTGAGTGGTGCTGTTATCTACAATTTGAATGTTAGTCTCTGTGTGTTTGCCAGCTGATAACTCACTTTGTCACCTTTCTGCATATACATCCCGAGTAGCTGACTTTATTTCATCAAAACTTTGTCAAAAAAACGGCGTATAAATTCTGAGTCTTAGGTAAAGCTGATGAAACCTAAGATTTGTCTTTCATGCCCTTCCAAGGCCAAGTGTGAGTAAATTCTAATACCTAGTAAAGAGGATTCTGTGCTCTTGCTGTATTAGAAGCAGCCAAAAAAGCTCTCTGCTAAGATAAAATCTTTTTCAGGAGTTCTGACACAGCTCCTGAGGACTGATCCTGTGTGCACAGCTTTGGTCAAGTTTCTCTTCACAAAACTGTTTGGTGCAGACACTGAACTTTAAAGTTTTTAGACTTCTTCATATTTGAGTATATTTTTCTTAGAGTTAATGCTGATAACCCATTTTGGAATGAGATCCTGAGCTGCTTTTTGCATTTGTAGCGTGATCACTTTTAGGGGAGTTCTTTGGTTGGATCTAAGACAGACCCTTGCTGCAGCTGAGAGCCTCAAACAGCTTCAGTTCTTCTGCTTGTTGCATCCATTGCTGCCCTGGGTGACCTTTCATCATGGGAACTGTCCTTCCACCCTGGCTTCTGCTGGCACTTGGGCACAGAACTCAGTCTCATCTTGAGGAGCATCCATACTAAATTGTGTGGATCTTGTGCCTGTATGTAAGATTGTTAATGCCCTATTCCAGCTGGAAACGTTCAGGACAGGAGCACTGGCCAGCTGTCCTGCCCTAGAGGAGAGAAATCAGAACAGAGAAATCAGAGAAAATCATAACAGAGAAATCAGAAGAGCCCTGTCCAGGCGAGTCGTATGGATGTTGTGTTCTCAGAGCGTTGTGTGCTGGCAGCCTGGTACAGCTGGGGAGCTCTGCACAGTCACTCTTGTGTCCTTTCTGTGTTGGTTCCATCCTTTGGTGTGAGCCTGCTTTGTTCTCTGCAGAGTCTGTGCTGCTGTGGCTGCTGACCTTGAGGCTATGCTGGGAATCTTCTGACTGTGGGTTCAGCCTATGACAGCCTCTTTCTTCCATACCCTGCTGCCACTGTTTGTTCCTCTCCGTTTCCCAATTTTTTACTGCTTAAGCAAGTTGGCCCAGCTGTAAGCTGTGTGATGCTTAATTCTCACAGCAGGAAGACAGCCCTGAGTTTGCTGGCAGATGCAACACTGCTTGTATGTTTGGCTTTAAGGCTGAATTGTGTAGATAAGGCCTTAGGGGAAACGTGAAGTAAAAATTGATTTTTAGTTTGCTGTGGATATGGTGCAAGTCAGAAGAAATCTCTGTGTATTCTTTAAGGCAGTGGAGCAATTTCCCTCTGCCTCCACCTGCTTATGTTTGAGCATTGTTGAAAAAGGTTTGTTGCTACCTAGTAGTAGACAATAAAGTACAAAAATACCAACAAAATTGTTATTAAATTGTTATTGTTATTTGTTATTAAAGTTTCATCTTTTCTGGGAGCTGGTGAGCAGTCATATTTTGAGAATGAATACGTATTGAGGCAGAAGGCTTTAAGAAGTTACCTTTTAGGCGGTTTTCATGTTTTTCTAGCTCTGTTTAGTGATTGTTATGACTTGCAGGCCCACTTGGGGTACTCTAGGTGAGCCATGTGAGGTGAATAAATGCAAAAGCTGTGATGTAGGAGGAGAACTGCTGTTCTTACAGATGCATCCCTGTGAGTGCACTTGTACCTCTTTTCTATTTTTTTCTGGAGTTTGTATCTAGTTAAGTGTTGACATAATATTTTAAGGAAATGAAAAAAATCCTGTTACCTGGCATCTTTAAATCAAACTTGGGGCATCCTTGACAACCTCAGATGACTTTGAAATGTCCCAGTTGAATTAAGTGGAAATCCTATGAGTATGACTGTAATGGTATGGGATTCTGGGTGCTCTGCTGCTGGAGAGATGAAACATATCACCTGGAAATTGCTGGATGATATAGTCTCAGAATCTAAACTTTTCCTTTCACACCAAAATGGTAAGTGTTGAAGTCGGCTTCTTCTGTCTCTTTAAGTGCTTCAATGCAGGAGAAAATCAGCATAAATGTTGACATCTAAACTGTCCAGCTTGATTTTTATGGGTAAAAATCACTGAGGTGAATCCTTGACAGTTGTTTTGAGGATCTTTGAGGTTGAGAAAGAGAACACAGTATTTTCTACTTGTATTTGGGAAGTGTTTCTGGACTTCATTTTAAAGACAATTAACACTGCAGCATAAAGCTGGTGACACCAGGAAAACAGCCTGGCCAACAGTGTGACAGAGGTTGACTTCTGAACAAAATAACATCAATGTGAAGTAAACGGATAACGTGGGTTTGGCTGGGATTTGTTCAGAAGGTTAGGACAGCAATTCTCAAAGACATCAACTGTACAGCCATCATTTGGTGGTGGGGGCTCCTTGATATCCCATAATATTTCAATTTTATGTATTGAAATCACAATTATTTTCTATTTGCTTTGGCCACACATAGTCACAGAGGGAGGCAAACATGTCCCTGTATGAGGGCTCATGCCCTCAGTGGCACAGTGTGGACTCAGCCTGTCAGGCTGTCTTGATTGAGCTGGAATTGGCTGTGACACTGCTGTTGCACAGCCTGGAACGCCAGCCTTTGCAGAGTTGTTTTAACTGGTGTATTTCAACCATATTACTGCCATCAAACCCAGGGCTGTTGCTCCTCTAAGTGATATTGCAGGTGCTTAATACAAATTATCTACTCCTTTGGTTTTAAGGAGCAAATATGACAGCATGCCTCTGAGGAATTCTTTTGCAGACATTCCAGTTACTTGTTATCCTGATGAGGTATTATTCACATATTTTCTTTTTCCATGCTTGAACTCTTCCTTTGTCTTTTCATTATTACCAGGAATAAATCTGTGGCTTTTATAGTGCAGTTATTTTCTCAGAACCCAATTTTATATCTCACCTGAAGTCACCCTACTTCTCATTTCATGGCATTGCAGCATCTCTTGGAGATGCCAAAAAGAGCAGCTTATATAGTTCCAGTGACAGATAAATTCTGTGAACCAAGGGAATCAAATAGATGGCAAATGGGTTTGGCCTTGCCTTGCCTTCTCTTCTGCCCTTTCCATCGCAGAGTTTGGCCTGATGAGCCACACTTTGGGGCAGAAGTGTGCTGTTCTCCCAGTCACCTGTTTTTGTCTGGTTGGCCTTTAGTCCTTTTGGTTGGTACTGTGTTTGTTTTGGTATGCTGACTGTAAGTGGGGTTTTTTTGTATGTGATATTTTGAGACAGAAATACATGGTCTTGCCATATTAGGCAAGGACAAGCTGGAGGATGGAGAGTGTTGGTACCTAGAGAACATGCAAGACTCTGGGCACAGCAGAACAGTACTTGCCATTTTGTCTGCAAGGGGAAATAGGACATTTTTGGGGCTGGGGAAGGAATGGACTTTCATTCCTCACTCAGAAGCTGTGTCTCCAGTGCTTGCTGTCTATATACCCTTGCCAGTGCCAAGTCAGGAATGTATTTCTGAACAGACCATCTGTGACATATCTAACCCTGAGCATCTCACTTTTGTTTTTACACTTCACTTAATGAGATGGGTGTTTTTCACCTCTCTGAATTGCTGCTTTGGGCTGTGCTCAGACCTAGGTGAGTGGGAGGTGCTGCATTAATGTGTGTTTGGCTTGCAAACTGATGGAAAGGGGAGTTCACAGCTATAATGCACAGACTTAAGTCCTCTCTGGAACCCTTTTACACTGCCAGAATGGTAAGTACCTTTAGTGTAAACATCAGGCAACAAGAACATTGGAAGAACCCACACCTGAGCTCTGGTGTTAAATTTATTTATTTGTTAAATTGCTACATAACTGTATTTTCTCAGAACCCAATGTTATGTAGCAATTTAACAAATAAATTACAGTTAAAGAGTGTGCAAGAGCTTACATAATCTCAGCACACTTGGCATCCTGGTCTTTGTTTTCTGCTTTTCTTTTCTGTTGAAAGAATGCTTGTGAGCACATGCAGGAAAAAAAATATGCATGTGTGCATAAACAGGGGTGTTTTATCCTTAAAATGTTTCTGGGGCTTTTCTATTTCAGTGTTGTCAAACTGTGTGTAAAAAGGGTATGTACCTACATTTTAAAAATGAACAAATTGTTTTAAACTTACACAACATAATGTCCCCTCTCTTTTCTGTCTTACCTGATAGTGATAACCTGCTACGAAGAGCTGCATGCCAAGAAGCCCAGGTAATACTGGTTAAAATAATGAAATTAGATTAAAATCTGCCTCTTATCTTGGTTGTGCAGGCCTCCTGAGATTTTCCCAGAGGGCCTTTCCTACGTTACAAGCCTTCTAATGATGCCATCCATCATCTGTGTTCTTTCCCTTGATGCCCAGAGGTGGACAGGAGTACTGCCCCTTGTGTGTCCTGGCTGCTGCAGAGCTGTGCAGCCTTATCCTTGGGGTGATCTTAGTCACTGCAGGAGCTACCCAGACCTCCACTGCTGCATGTGCAATTGCTCTGTGCCCGTAAACTTCTGGTAGGGAGATGATTTGTTGCTAAGAGCGAAATCCCAGCCCCACCAGGAGGGGTTAGTCTGGGCAGAATCAGCACAAACGGCTTTGTGTCAGTGCTCAGCTGCAGAGGCCCTTCCCTTGTCTGTTTGACCCTGAGTGACCTTATCAGGGATGCCAGCTGTGATGACTGACTGACCCAGCTCTTTTGGGACCCATCTCCTGGGAGCTTAATGGGGACAGCCCGATTGCTGATCAGTGACAAGAAGGCCACTGTTCAGGGTGGCGAGTTACTCTCTCAGGGTACTGACTGTTGCATTTCTTAGTTTGTGGCCTGCATGGGCAAACAGCAGTCAACAAGCTCCCATACTGCAATATTCCCACAAAGAAATCTTGTCCTTAATAAGCAGTCTTTTGGAGGTGTAAGTGCTGCTGCCCATGGATTACATCACTTCTCTAGGATTTTAAGAGTTTTTACCTCCCACAAATAAAGTTTATTCTAAACCTGCTTCTTCATGACAGATTTTTGACATTTTGCAGGGTGTAACACTGCTCTCATCATTGCTATGTAGTGGGGCCTGAGTAGAATGGTGAAAATTATTTTTCTCAGTAGAGAAGTGTTGTGCACCTGAATTATCCCAATTTTAGCCTGTCTGCTGTCGAAAGATTTTCACAGCAACTTGTCTTGTGCAATGGATCTTCGTGCCAAAATGGATGTAAGGGAGCTCACTGCTCATGAAAAAACAAGGAAAATCTTTCCCTGAAAATACTTTCATAAACCATACTTGTAATTTCAGAGTCTTTATGTTTTCAATATTAATTTTTACTACATAATAACAAAGTGATAGAATTTTTTTATATCACAAAAAATAGCTGTTAATACCTCAGTATTTGAAGCATGCTGATCAAATTAAACCAATTTTTTTAAAAGGAGCTGATGAAGTGGTTTGTGTGTATTGTCAAAAAGGTGCAAGTGCTAAGGAAAAGACTGGTACCAGCAGATAGTTCAGTTGTGAAAATCCTGAATTTCCCATTTCTTAAATCCAGTTATTAAGTGACAGGTTCTATTCCATTATGGCTTATTCTTACAAATGAAAATTGCAAAAGCACTGTGTAGAGCTTCCTGCAATTTTAGTGGTTAAAGCCTGAGAAAATGTCCTGTAGAGGACTCCTGCATTAGAAAGGAATGAACCAGAAAGCCTAGTAATCAATTCTTGCTGTAATTTCCATTCTCACTGATGTGTCATTGCCAAATAATGCTTGAAAACACACAACAGTACTGCATTAAAGCATTAAGTGTCTAGTATGTTCTTCAGAATAATAACAATCTAAAATAGCTTGAAAAATGCTCCTTGCTTTTGCAATGCTGTATGTAAGTATTGGAAACAAAATAGAGGCAAACTCGCCAAAGAAAAAGTTTAGTTTAAATGAAATGTGTGTGAAGTTTTTACCATTTTTACATTGGATTTTTAGGTTTTGAAGTCTGTTACATTATCAATTTGATGAGGGAGCTGCCTTCCTGAGAGAGAATCCATGACAGCAGTATTTCATGCAAAAGTTCTGCCATGTATGTCTGAATTTAAATACCAGTTTATGATGACAGCCTTGGGTGTGGCAAATGATTATGGAAAGATTCTACAATAAAGAACCCATTTATCATATTTTTAACATTTTACACCTCTGTCTCTAGGATAAGTCAGTGTCAGCTGACTTGGACTTCCTTGGCAGGTCAGTCTTGCTGATTGACCGTGTTATTGCTGAACTCTGGGCATGTGTAAAGAGGTGCTGTTTAGCTGGCAAACAATTCACTCAAGGATAGTTTTCTGCAAAAGAATGTAGTTTTTGCTGGTATTCATAAAGCACTGTAAAAGCTTTGTATAAAGGAATTTTCAAAGTTGTAGAATAGTAGTTGTCATTTTAAAAGTCCAGAAATATAATACCTGGAAATGTGCATGTGACAAGAAAGTGAAAAGGGCATTGACTTAACTAAATTATACCTTCATATGTATATATATATTTTTTTTTAATAACCATTTTTATGGTATGACTGTAAGTTGCCTTTACTTATGTTCTGCTCTGAAAGACTTCTAGAATATTTCATTATTATTTTTTATTTCCTGTCTTACAAATCAGTATTTGCTTTAGAAATTCCCCTGTATATAACATAAATATCTCCGTATGTTACATAAAGAAGCAATTATGTCATTACTAATAAAATCTTTATGAGCCTTGTTGGGTTGTTTAGAGCCTTGCTAGATTGTTTGGAGTATGCAGATACATCATGCCGTGCCCCCTAAGCAAATAATTAGATGTTTCTAACAGCTGTAATATGCTGGAGGGCCCCTATTCCCCAGTTCCCCCCCAAAAATTGCAATATAATAAGTTGGTCTGTTTTCCAGCTGATCTTTGAGTAAAGCTTAAGACCTATTGATTTGTTGAACTTATTTTGAAGATTTCTTTACTCTCAGCAACTTCTCTTACCCTTTTTCTTTCTAAAGAAGAAGTTTGGATGTTTTAAGCAGCACAGCCAGATTTACCCTTCTTTAAATTGAGGCTTCCTGAGCAAAGTTTGCAAGTGAAATTAATAATAAGTTTGAACAGCTAACAACAACTAAAATGTACTGTTCTTTGTGTACAGTATCACCTCCTTTAATATAAAAATTCCTATTAGAGGATTAACTTTCAAGGTAGAGGGGGGAAAAAGCCAGGGATAGTCGACTGGGCCGCGTTCAGCACAGTAATCTTTGGTTCCTGCTCTTTCTAGGGCTTCTGGATGTTATTGCTGAATACCTTGTATTCCTTGTGTTCAAATCCAGTTTGATTTGGTGTGTTAGTGAGGATGCCTTTAAGTGACCTTCTAGAAGCTTATAGCAGGATGTAATATGTGTGGAAGTTTTGCATTTCCTTGCCTGTGCTGAACAGCTTTGGAAATGGGTACAAAGTGCAAGAGGCTTTGTAGACAAACTCTCAAAGAATTTAAAATTGAGACACCTCTTCAGAATTGGATTAAAAATTGAAGAGGAATTGAATGATTTTTATAGAGAGAGATTAGTTTAAAGAAGTATAAGAAACAGTGGACTTGCTTATAGGTCAAGGCAGATTCTCTTGTAATTATCTTTTCTGTCTTCAAAAACTGAAGCATAGAAAATACTAAAATGGGTAGAAGAGATAGAGGAATTAAAGTTCAGAAGTTGGAAAGAATGCAGAAAGGAGGTGGCAGGTAGGTGTATGAGAATTACATAAGGAAAGAAAATCCAGTAACCTTGGAGTCAAGGAGAGCTCCCTGGATTTCTGCCCATTGCAGAAAACCAGAGATTGACAAAAACAAAATGGTGGTGGAATTGTAAAAATGAGCTAAAGAGTATTTATGCCAGTGATGTGAGCTGCTGCTAAGAGTGCAGGTCTTTGAATAAGAGACCTGTACAATGGCTGAAGATGGAACTCATTTGAATGTCATGAGGCTTGAAAGCCCATTGACATTTGTAGAGGTATATTATTTTGAACTGTTTTGGCAGTGTGCTTAAAAGATAAACTGAGCCCTGCTCTTTTTCTCTTACTTAGGCTTTTGGCAACCAGCTGATGCCTGCCACTATGCCACTGAAGAAAGCAACAGTCTTCCTCAACCCAGCAGCTTGCAAAGGGTAAAATTCCCCCTTCCCAGCACTCCCATTTGAGCACTCTTTCTGTATTTTTGCTCTGCTATTCACTATAAAAGCCAGCCAGATTTTTGAGCTCATTTTTGCCTCCCTCTGATGCCAAGCTGGTGCTATGTAACCGTGCCAAACTTTATTCCACCAAAAATATTGGGATGAGAAATAGAATTAGTTGCTTGTGGTGGAAGAAGGATTTCTAAACATGTATATATATTTTTCATTTTTTTTTATTTAATCCTGTGTTTTGGCCCTTGTCATTCCTTCATATGTAGAATTCCTTTGTATTCCTTCCAAACTTTTGCATGTGATATATTTCCATCCTCAAAAATTATAGAAATAAGAGTTGACCTTGATTGCTTCAAGACTTGAAGCTGGCAAGAAGTGATCTTACTTCTGTGGGAACCTGCCCTTGAAAGGGATGTGCCCACAAACTGAGAGGCTAAATATGGGCTTGGAGCAAGACTCCTGGAAGAGGCTGGCTGCTATTTTTACGTGCTCATTAGCAGAAAAACCATAATCTTGGATGTGATGTGTGTCTGTTTCTGCTGATCAACTAAGCTTTGGAATAGTTGCATTTTGTGGAGGGACAGAGAGTTGTTACAACCAATATGAGGGGAATATTATAGCTGACATGGAAGTGCATGGACTCACATGCTTTTGTGAGTCTGGAAAATGCATAGTATTAACCAAGTCTCATGTTTCTACTTGTAAACAATTTATAGTTAATGATATAATGATTTTATTATGCAATGTCACACATAAAATTATCAGTCCTATAATAAAAGAGGTCAGATAGAGTTTTGCTTCTAACTTTATTTAACAATATGTAGTAATAAATAATTGGAATTTTAAAAATACTTCTTAAAGCCTACATGGGCCTTCTTTGTGGTCCTAAAGGCTGGTGCTTTGTAAGTCATTCATTTTCTAATAAATTTCTTTCTGGAGATCTTAATTTGTTTTAATGGGTTTTTAAAATGATTTTTGGCAAAGTTAGATAGCATCTTGTGCAGTTAATAAACTGCAACAAAACCCTGACATCTGAGATATGAGACTAGAAATATAATACATTTGAACCAAATGAAATCTCATATTTCCTAACTGTCAGGTTGAGTGACTGATTGTGGAGATTGAATGCTTGGTTTTAAGTAGATTTCTTCTTGCTATTCATTTGTTTCTTTCCTTTTTAATTTTTTTCAGCCACAGACATCATTAAACAGTTTTTATTTTGTTATTTCTAGCAAAGCTGGGAACCTTTTTGAAAAGAATGCTGCACCAATCTTGCACTTATCTGGCTTGGATGTAACTGTGGTTAAGGTAAGAACTGATAGGTCCTGCTACTGTAAAAATAGTGACTCTCTTCTTTCTCCTCTTGAAGAATTAAAATTCAAATCTGTATGCATTGGAAATTCTCAGTTGTCCTGTCAACATCTTATAGGAAGAAATAAATACTGCGATATTAGGCCGATACCTAATCTTTTTAATTCACAGTTAGTTTTCAAACAGTGTAGTGAAATTTTAATTTTCAGCTAAAGCAGTACATATGCTTGTTTGTCTGTCTAAAGCAGCCTTTATATAATTCATGTTTGAGAAAAAACTCGAAATATTTGAGTGCTGGCTAGTGGTGCATGCCCATTGCTGTTGATTTTGTCGTTTCTGCCTGAACTTGAAGAATTGAAAAGTGAGGAATTTTGACATGCAGCTGAACTCCAGATTAATTAAAAATAACCTTTTACCTTTACACTGAAATTATTTCTGTGTCTCTCCAAATAATTCAACATTACCACCATGAAAGCAGAACACGGAGCTCTAAATGGTGTGAATTAACAAACAGGATGGAAAGAGAAGAACAAGAATACATTGAAGGGGTTCTGATCTTTTTGTAGTTTTTTTGAGGCTGTGATATGTGGATTGCTTAATATTCAGTGTGTCCTAAAGCAAAGTACTCTGATATGCACCTTTCTGTCTTAGAATCTTGCAAGGTTTAGTATTAAAATGCTGTTTTTATTAATCCCTTTCTCTGATCATTAAATATACCTAGTCCCGGCCTAAGGGAATAAATCGTTTTGCAAGACTTAAAACTGATGCTTGGTAGTGTTAGACCCAACACACAAGTTGGCAAAACAGGGGTGGACAAGGAAGTGAGGCTGAGATGGCTCTGTAAGAGACATGAATTTTGTAGAAAACAGTTTTGATGGTTTAAAAAGTCAGTACTCTTTCTTGCTAAATCCATTGTCAGTGGCTGTCAGGCCTTTTGTGTAGTTGTATTTCAGGAGATGCAGTTGAGCAGTTTGGCTGTTAAAGTGGGAGTTTTTCTGCGAGTGATTGGCCTCTGGATTTGTTTCAATGTAATATTACCTGGAAATAAGATGGTTGCTGTAGTATTCTGATCTATTGAGTAAGATTTGCTCTGATGTTTCATTTAACCTCTGTGTGTGTGTTTACTTGCACATATTATATTATGCATCAAACTGGTTTTATAAGTTGAAAAAACCTCTGGTTGTAAGTAATATACAGTACTGTGTGCCTATGTAAAAATAACTATTAGCCAGATGGATAGATTATTCTTTTTTCTATAAAAGAAATATACTAAAAATAGTCATTTGAGTCTTCATGTTTGGATCTCTGTTTCTTCAGACTGATTATGAGGGACAAGCAAAAAAACTTCTGGAATTAATGGAAAACACGGATCTGATCATTATTGCAGGAGGAGATGGCACAGTCCAAGAGGTACTGCAGGAGCCTGGTTTGTTGAGAATCATAGTTGGGCTGGAAGCAAAAAGATTGAGTCTGTGCAATGTAGCAGCATCATAACAACTGTTTCTAGAGATCTGTCCAGTTTAGAATCTGTGCTTTTAGTAAATGTTCTAATATTCTGGGGACAGAACACCCTGCTTGTTGGTGTTAGTCTTAAGAGTTTATGGGAGTGGGGGCAAAAATGTGTGTGACATAACTGTCTTCCAGAACTTTATTCTACAATGAGCAAACTCTTTGGAGGGACATGTTTCTAACTTTCTGTGTGATGTAGTTGTAGTGGTTTGATTTTCAAAGTTCCTTCCTTTCTATAAACTCCCCAAGAGGAATGCATATTTTACTAAATGGGAATCAGATAATTTAAAAATTACGTGGGAATGATAACAAAGCGTGGAATGTATTTAATAAATGCCTATTGTCAAGATGATTAATGGCAGGAGCAGAACTGGGGGATACTCTCTATTTAAAGACTGTATTTTATTCAGACAGTTCCTGGTTTTTAACTACTGATTTCATAAGACAATGGCTAAATGAATGCAATGACCTTAAGAGAAAGAGATCAGAATACATCTGTAGGTTCATTCTGGCCTTTTGTTAATTGTACTGACCAGTGCTGGTTTTGCATTATGCAAAGCATCACTCAGTCTTAAAACATTTACGCTGCCATTGGTTGTGGTACCAGCATGTACTCAGGCACAGTCATAAACCTGCTGTTTCCAGCATGTTTGCAGGCTGAACATTCCTCCTTTCCCATGTAAACAACTGTAGCACCTTCCATAAAAGAGTAACTGCTCCTTAAATCTTCTCAAAGAGTAAACATGGTTAAGAATTTCATAGCTTCTTACTGTAACTGAAAAATAAAATTCTTAGAGCATTTCCCATGTTTTTCAGGTCATAACTGGACTTCTGCGTAGAGCAGATGAGGTGAGAAGGTGTCATTTTAAAAACTGTGTTTATTTCTTGGAGTGTCTTGTGCATCCACTGTGGTCTCTTGGCCTCAGCTGCCTCCAGCAAATACTTTGCTTACTGCTCTAGAGCTAGCTTGCTGTGCAACAGTCCAGCTGGGCTGCTGTCCTGCAATGCTGCCTGCTGTTCTTTGTTCCCTTTCTGAGGGAGTGCAGTGACTCCCAAGCCATGGCTTTGGGAAGTTTCCAGTGTCAGAGCAGGGATTGTGGAGAAGCCAAATGCTCAATTTTCAAAGACCCATAGACCAGCTGTGCATGCCACTTTGTTTGGCACAAGCATTGGGCAAAAGTACATGTTTTTCTTGTATTTGTAGAGACTTGAAACTGAATTCAGTTATGGTCACACTCCTACTGCTTTGGGATTGCTTTGATGTTTCTTCAAGCAGTGCATACCTACCTATGCAGATGGCTGTACTAAGCAAATTTTGACCTCTCAAGGTGGATCACTCTGAATGGAAATGAGAGAGATTTTTCTTTTTAAAGTGGGAGGACAGTGTTATTGAAGAAAGGAGGGAATCATTGTTCCCAAAACCTTCTGGCAGGAGCTGGCAAAAACTCAATTAAATGATCCAGACAAGATTATGATGATACCCTTGGCAGCTGGAATTGTATCTATTTAGGCATTTGCTTTTTCTGAATGTGACAAAGGGGACTCTGCAACCAAGTCAATATTTTTAAAGGAAGGCTAGTTATACAAATTCTGATACATCATTGTTTTAAATCTAATATTACTGTAGTTGGATCCTGAGACTCTTTTAATCCGACAATAGTGGAAGCAAAGTTTAGAGGCTCTACTGGCTATTTTCTCTTTATTTTTTTGGCTTCTTATCCTGATGTAGCTTGGATCATTTTGCAGTAGCACAATTATGGGTGCAATACTGCATTGTAGTATTTGTCACTGTGTCACTTCATGGTTTTGGCCAAGGAATTCTTGTCCTTCGTGTCACTCTGTCCTAGGATTAGAGATCTGCACTCGAGCTCCCTCTCTCTGTGCCCTGCTTCCTTTTTCCCTTGGAGATGTCCCACCACTGTTGCCTGCCTAAGAGCCTGTGCAAGGTATTGCAGAAGCCCTGTTCCTAGCAGCCAGGGGAGCAGAGCTTGACTGCAGGAGCTGCAAACAGCCTCACATCTGCACACTGCAAAGCAGTGCTGAAGAAAATGAGAGCAGGGTGTTTGAGAGTGGTAGCACTCTGAAGTGACACGGACACAGCAGGGGAGAGGGGTTGGGTGTGCTGTGAGAGGGAAATTCCCAAGTGGCTGCGGATTGGCTGTGTCCTGGTGCTGCTGGCAGCATCCCCCAGGAGGGGCGTGCCGCACTGGGGTATGGGGTAGTTTGCACTGGTTTGCTGACACGTTTCAAAAATCAAGGTTTGAGATGAAGTACAGGGTAATAACTTGCTCCTTCAACAAGCCCTTTTGCTGAACAGCTGTACAGAAAAATAATATGGTCAGTGACTTCCAAAAATTAGACCTTCTGTTGCTTCATGATTTGGATGGCAGAGGAATCAATTAATTTCATTTCCTTAAGTGAGAAAATCTCTTTGCTGTGCAAGGTTACTCTGTCAAAGCAGGATTTCTGCAGGGGTAAATGGGATTCGGAGCCTGTGATGCCACCATCAGTATTAAGAAAGATGGCAGACTGCTGACAGAATCCATGCATTAGTTGGGATGTGGCTGCCAAAATGCATGTAACAATGCTCTTAATGATTACAGAGAGCTCCTTTGTACCCAGTTGGCAGTGGTGGCTTCACAGATTTGGGTGCCATGTTCTGAGTCATTGTGTGAGGAAGTGCCTGGTGCTCAGTGCCAAAGGGGCGATGCCAGACACAACTGTGATCTCCACACAGGAAGCTTCATGCAAATGTTAATTTACTCTCCTTATGTGTCCAGGCTGCCTTCAGTAAGATTCCTATAGGATTCATACCCCTTGGAAAAACTTGCACTTTGAGCCACACACTGTACCCTGAAAGCACAAATCAAGTCCAGTAAGTATGACATGTTTCTGCAACATGGTTATTTGTTTTAAAGAAGCAGTGCTTCTTGGTAGCTTGATACTTTTCTTTTTCTTCTGTGTTACATAGAAGTTGGCAGAGCCTGATGATTCTCTGGACTTACCTGAGTTAATGACTTCCAAATACTGACTAAAAATTAAAAGAAGGAAATGTATGTATTATTAGAAATTATTTGCTGTGGCTAATTTCTCTGTGATCATGTGATGCTCAGAGTTTAAAAAGAAAAAGGGATTAAAAGAATCGGCCTCTTAGGAATAGCTGAAAGGATATGACAAGGATATAGGAAGGATATAAGATATAACAAAATGAGCCAAAAATAAGTCCTCTTTCTGACCCTTCTCCAGTCTAAGAATTCTAGAAATTGGTCCACATATTGCCTGGTTAGGACCTGCAAAGTAAGGCATACAACAATATGGGAAAGGCTGGCTCCCATTACTGACTTTTGCAGGGCAGAACTGACTTTTCTATATGGTGGGACTGATGCTGGCAGTAATCCAACAGACCAGTTCTTATCTCCAGCATCCTCAATATGGTCCAGGCTGGTGGTATCTGTTGCCTGCAGTTCAGTTTGTGGCAGGATTGTTTTGTCCACTTAGAAAGAGAAAAGGGAGTCAATCTTTCTTTTCTCCATACTTCATTTCTTTTCAATTTTTCCCTTCTTTTCCTCTCATAATAATAAATATATTTCTTCTTGATCCTGAAATCTTTTCACTCTTACTCTCCCAGTAACTCATTAACATTGTTCTTTGTGGAACCCTTGCTGGTATCCATCATATGTAAAACCCATGAGTCGACTGGCATAACATCCTTCATTAAAATACCAGAGTGCTTTGAAGCTCAGAAAGGTGGACAAGGCTGTTATCAGCAGCTAAGATTAAAATAATAATTTATGTTTGGGTTCTAAAGAAGCTGTTTGAAATGGATGATCTTGTGCCAAGGTAATGAACTGTGCAGCTGGGACTGCAGCACACCGGTGAAGTTGAAGGTAATTTGGTCAATGGGCTGCTTAACAACCTGCACCGGTAACAGAGCCTGAGTTAAGAAGTGCAGAAGTGATATTTTTTTAAAGAAATATTTGGACTTTGGTTCCTTCAGCACTCTTTTACTTTGGAGTGTAGGAACTATAAAGGTCTTAGAGAAAGATAAGAGCTGGGAGAGAAGATGGGCTGTGGGAAGAACAGCTTCCTTATCTATCTCAGTATTGTTATCCTGATGAAACCAAGGGCAGTTTCTCCCACTGATTCAAATTAATATTGGGCTGGATATGAAAACTGCATTTTTCCGTCTCCAGCTGAGACACTGGTGGGACTGATGCTGGCAGTAATCCAATGTTTTGTATTGGATTACTGTATGCAGTGTGGAAACTAAATATTACCCAACTTTGAAAACAAGGAAGGGATTTCAATCAAGTATATGCTTCAAGGTTTGAACACAGACTATTTAGTGGACTTTGGTTACAAAATCTTTACAACTTGAAATGATAAAGTGCCCTGGCTACTGTCCACAACTTAATAGATACCTAAACTATAAGAGTGCTGCTAATAGGTAGATTTATGTTGATTAAAAACCTCAAAATAAATTAGCACATACTAGTGCAGTTCAACCTGAGACACGTGAGTTGAGACCAGTCATGCTGTCCCATTCTCTCCCAGGCTGTAATACTTGTTACCACTAAAATAAAACTGTGATTTGGGTCCTTTGTGTGTTTTAAGTATCTGAAACAGGAGGTAACACAGTTGGCCTCTGACCTGCAAAAAGGAGGAATATCTCAAAAGCTTAGGCTGATAATTTCCTTTTGCTGTTTTGTGTATTTTGCTGTTTGTTAGGTTTTGTCATGTGTTGCAACCACTCATTTTGCTTTCTGATTTCAGTTAAGTGTGGCACATTTCCCTGGGGTTTTTACTTTTACTGGAAAAAAGCCCTACCTGGACTCATAGTGGAATTTGCTGAAAAAACAGAAGTGGTTTTAAAGCTTACTCATTTCCTTTCTTCCTGTTTGTTTTCCTTGTTTTTTTCCTGTTTGTTTTGCAGACATATTACTAATGCTACATTGGCCATTTTGAAAGGAGAGACAGTTCCACTTGACGTCTTGCAGATTAAGGTGAAAGCATCTCTTATTTGGAAACCAATGTTCCTAAAACTTTCCTATTCTGATGTTTTTATGTTTACATGGACAGGTTTTCCTCTGCGTATTGCTGTTATGAATTTTAGTTTATGATATCAGCAGTTCTGCTGGCAGTCATTTCTCCACCATGTGCTGTGGCATCAGACAATCTATACAGAAGAAAACACTAGAATGCCTCAACATTGCCTTTGTTTGAGACTCAGAGAGTATTGATGAAAACAAAACTTACTACACTGGTATTTCTGTGGCAATGATGAGAGTTAGCAGTAGCTGTCTGCTGATTTGATGCATTCATGTGGATTGTGAAGTTAATAGCTTTCTTTGACAAATGGAAAAATGCAAAATGGGAAAATCTTTGACTATGCCTTGTATGGTTACTGAATATGATTTTTCTGTTCAGTTGTAGAATGGACATTTCTACAGCAAGAGCGTTGTGTCACTGTGCAGAGCTCCTTGCTTTTGGCTAACAGTCAAATCCACAATATGAAATGACCATTGCTGGGTGTGTAAACTCAGGCTACCTGTTCAAAACTTCACCTCTTTTATTCCTTCCCGGAGCAGATGGAATCTACAGTGCTTAAATTCTGTTAAGCTTTATTGCTCTTAGCTCTTTGTCATACCTCTTCTGTTAAATTTCTGTTAAATTTGTGTAGAAATTTAACAGAAGTTTTTATGTAGCAGTGCTATTTTTCCAACTTCAGAAAATAAAGTTGGAAAAAAGGTAAGAGAAAGCAGTTTTGCAATGTTTATTTTTCTTTATAGGGAGAAAAGGAACAGCCTGTGTTTGCAGTCTCTGGTTTAAGATGGGGATCTTACAGAGATGCAGGAGTTAAAGTTAGCAAGTAAGAAAATACTATTTTTTGAAACTGTACGCTTTTTAGTATCTGTTGCCTGAAAAGACACACTCTCCTCTCTCAAGTAAGTCTTTTTTTGAATGTAGGCATATGACAGGCAGAGGCACCCACTCTTGCTAGGTCTTGTATTGCACACAGGGGAGTGTAAGATGTATCAGAATTCTTGTAATTTGAAATAAACGCTTACTTGGTGCTGACCTGTTCTTTTAAGTATTTACTTTCTTCTTACATTGTGGTATCTGCTTCTGGAACTTTATTCAGATTGTAAGAGGGAGAAAATCTCTCCCTTGAGTAAAATCTAAGTAAAGTAATTGGCCATTGTTTTTCATATCTGCCAATGAAAAGCTGGGTGTGTACTCTGAAACTCAATTCCAACCAGGGACATCAGATGCAGTAGAAATGCCTTCAGGTTCCTGCCAGAAATGGCATGGACTGTGCTATCTGATTACTGTTCTCTGAATGCTAAACTCACAATTATTGGGCTTTCTCCAAATGGGCATTTAACATGTCACTGTCTGTGTATCAAATGACAGGCATTATCTGCTGAAGGAGCAGCAGAGCCAAAGCAGCTCACTCCCAAAACTCTTATGGAGGAAATGCAGCTTTGTGAATGAGCTGTCATTGTCAGGAAGAGGTAGCAAACCTCTGGAGTTTGTCTGGCAAACGTTTGAGTAGATTTAAAAGGGAATGAGGGAGATGCAGTAAATGGCCAGATTTGTCCCTGGGAAGCCAGGGACATTCTTAGTGAGCTGTGTAGGTGCTGACTTGGCTGTGCTGCAGGCTCTTCTGCTAATTGCAGCCCACAGTTCAAGGAAGTGCACTTCTCTCTGCTCCACACTCCTGCTGGGCTTACTGCCCATGCCCCAGTTCTCTCCTGGTGTCAGCCTTCACATCTTTCCCTGCAGCACTTCCCTTTTGTAAGAGTCCTTTGGGCTCAGTACTGGAGGCATGACAGCATCTCTGGTACATGAGGCACATGAACATCCTCAAGCCTTGTTTCCTTCCATAAATGTTTTTGAATGCAGAGAAACATGTCCAGCTTGGAAAGCACTTCAGCACCAAAGAACAGATGCTCAGAGTCTGCTTGAAACAAAATCCTCGTGTGCTTGTCCTGTTTCTATACTTTTCCACTTCATCCACCTTTGCTCCCTGTGAGAGATGGGTTATTGGACTAAAAACATTGGGTGTGTTCCAGTGCAGCTGATCTTAAACTGAAAAGAACTCAAAGGGAGTTAAGCCATAAGACACAGTTCCAGAAGTGTGTCTGACTATCCCTCTGCTAAGGACTGTGCTGCTGGAGACCTGGTGCTGTTACTATTTTACAGACCATTTCAAGGCTTGAGAGGAGTGGTGGCACAATTGCATGCCTCAATGGTTAATGAGATCCTTAGATCTGCGGTACTCTTGAGCTGGTGGTGGTGTTCAATGTGCTTTGTTGACCCTCTTTGGTGAAAGACAGTGATCAAAATGTGTGCCAAGCCTGCCTAAATACAGTCACATCTTTAGATTCTATACTGTGCTGTGTGGCTGGCAGGAGTTTTATTTTGTAAAACCCTATTTTCCATGTGAGATTCCTTTGGGGCTAATGAATGTTTGCTGGTTCTTTTGTCACTGAAGCTTTTGGGGTTTTTGTTTGTTTCCTCTGACCTTTGTAAATATACTGTATTGCATATTGTGGAGATGTACACCACCAGCTGTTAGACCACAGACATTCAAATCATCCCCAGTTGTCCCACATAACAAAGTAGAATTCTGATAGTGAGATGTCCTGCTGCCCATAGTGAAGATGATACACTGCATTTTGGTGATGTGTAACTCAGGACTGGGATGTCATTGCTAGGCTGCTGGTGATGTGTAGAAACTATTTTACAGTAGCAAAGAGCTTAAGGTTGTCAGGGAGCACTGACTCAGTGGCAAAAAAGTCAGTGCTCTGACTTCATGAAGTTTCTCCCTTTCCCAGTATCGACCCCTGGATATCTTAGAAGTTCTATTTCTGTTCTTTTTTCAGGTACTGGTACCTTGGGCCTCTGAAAACCAAAGCAGCTCATTTTTTCAGTACATTTAAGGTAAACATTAGTTGTGAGGAAAGTGTTTTTGTTTGGGAAATGAACAGGCTGACTTTGCTTTGTATAATCTATCTGCAAGCTTTCCTGGAGGATTCTGGTAACAATATAGAATGGTACTAAAACTCAACTTGCTAGAAAGCCTACCAATTGATAGACTTATTTCTGAAGAGAGGAAGGGGAAGAGAAATACTTTTTAAAAATATTTTTAAATTTTTGCTGCACAATCACCAAGGGAAGCCAATAACCCCCTGTGAAACTGCTGGGCAGCAGTGAAGTGCTAAAGTGCTCAGCCACATTTTTTCAACAGTCTTTGTAATAACATTTCAGTCTGATTTATTCATCTGGCAGACGGGTCTATAATTAGACTGCTCATGCACATGGATAATCAGGCTTCCTTGTGTAGTAAAATGAACATGAAGATGAATAGCTTTTATCTCGCCTTAAACTTTTCTGTTGCTTAAAATTGATCCTGGAAAGATTAAAATTTGACCTGCATTAGAGGTAAGGCATTTCCATTCACATGGTTTTTCTATTCTCTGAACATATAAGGAACCTCCTGAAAGGCAGTGAAAATGCCCAGGAGCTGGTACAGATCAAATAGTGCAGTCTAGCCATGCTGTCTTTGACAATGCCAATGCTTCCTTTTATAGGCAGCTCCTGTAAAGGGAGACTTAATAGTAATGTATCCAGAAAAGTTTTGGGGTGGGTTTTCCCCCTCCTCTCATCCACAGAAAATTTAAGGTTATGCTTCCGTGTTCTGCCATTCTAGGTAGAAACCTATTCTTCTTTTCTGTCTACCTCCTTTCTCACTTCCTTTGAGTCCTTAGGCTCAGCTGGGGCTGGTGATAGTGGATTTCTCTGGTGAGCTATTAATTGTACATTAAAAAGATCTGTTTAACCTGCTAAAGGCTAAAGAGAAGTGCCCACTTCTTCAGCCATTTAGATAGAAAACTTTCTACCTGATCTCACCTAATTGTGATATTCACATTGCTTTATGTGCCTCTTAAGTTATCATTCTGTTAATTTCTACAAGAAGTGTCTCCAGCCCGTTGAATTTAATCTCTTCCTGGCTTGTGTTTGCTGCTCCACACTTCATACTTTTTGGTTTTAGTGGGGGTGTCTCTTGAAACAGGATGACCCTATAGCTGAAAAAAAGTGTAATTGGAAATATCACCTCTGATACTGGTAGGGGCATTGTTATGAGTGTTATCATCTCTTCTAAAATACACAGGCTTAAATTATCACAGCATTGCTGCTTTTCCATTTAATAATTAATATTTATTGTTTGTGTACTGCCCTACTGATACAACCTCTGTTTGTCCTGCTTATTATGTAAGCATGAGAGTGGAGTCCTTCCTTGCTCTCAGAGATGTGAGGTGAAATAGTTTAACAACCTGTGCTATATGATCCAAAACTACTTCTGAAGTTTTGTACATAGAAAAATAATTGTACTGAGTTCATGTGAGCTCTTGGCTGTGTTGTTTTAGTATATAAATTTAAAAACCAATTAAATTATTCCCTCCCTAAGTCATATGGTTGGAGCATTTCAGAAATTATTTTCAAAACAATGACAGGAAATAAACTTTGTCAGTGTCTGGACATATTTCAAAAGCTAAGGTTGTTCTGTAACCCTGGTATTGGAGTCTGAAGTATCACCAAGAATAATGTGTTAGTACTTTTTTTTATTTTCTCCCCTTTTTTTTTAAGATAGTTTATAAAGCTCATGTGACTTGCCTTAAGAGCTGTTCTATTGCTGTTTAGAAGCACCTGACTATCAGGTCAGGTCTGGATTGTTTGAGTTGCTGGAGAACAAAGGCCTGTCAGGTTTTAGTGCCCCTTGGCTGCACACAGCACTATAGGCTCTGTCTGTTTGCACTGGATCCTGCTGAGCAGTTGCTCTTTGATGTTGCCTTTTTGCCAGGCAGAAACCAACTGTGCTTTCAGACATTCCTATTGACCTGGCTGGTTTGAGTTGTTCCCTTTAGCCAGAAGCAGCTGTGTCACTCTGCCACATCAGCAGCAAAGGAAACATCCCTTCACCCTCTGTAGAGGGGAAAGTGCCCTTGCTTCTGTGCAGGGAAGGGTTAGATTAGTGGATTTGGGAACTGTGGGTAATATTTTTGAAGCTGCAGAAATGTCATCTCACCAATGAACCTGGAGACTGGAGAGAGACATAAAATAGGCTGAGGCAGTGGTGGGGTTCTGAGTACCTCTGCAGGACTACATGTGAGTACACAATAAGTAGGCTACAGGACTAAACAGAATAAACAGCTAATGCCCTAAACAAAATGCCCTTTTATCTTCTGTCTTTTCTTCCCATGTAAATCCAAGGAGTGGCCTCAGAAACATCAAGCTGCTCTCATGTACCTGGGTCCAACTGAGAGACCTCCAGAAGAGCCAGAGGAGAAATCATCCAGACCTCCTTTGTATGTGAGGCTTTACAGACGACTTAGATCATACTGGTCATCTCCAAAAGGTGGGCTGGGTGTGTTCTGGCATAAACTCACATGCAGGCTCTACTCCTCTAACAGGTCCAGGGCTGTGTTGTGTGGATGGCATGTCTACTTTACTGCTCTCTTTTTAGTTACTGTTATTTGTTTGTTTGTTTCCTGTTTTTATTTTTTAAAACTGTGCTTTTTGTCAAGACAGTTGTAGTGGCATCTGTGAGAAATGGAACAGAGTAGTCCTGCCAGAGTTTGTGGTTTCATAAGCAAATACTCACTTGTAAAGAACCCAGGGCATTCCCTGGACTCAGAGTTGCCATTGCAGTGGAGGCATCCATTGAGGATACTTGGCATTTCTGGGTGAGCTTTGTGAAATCTTCCAGCAGAATGGCTTCTTAGTGAGCTGGGCAGAGAGGGGCAGCCCTTGTTCCCGGGTGGGGAGAGTTGCTGACACAGAGCAACAAATGTTACTTTAATTAGAACAGTAAAATTGGGCCATGCAGAAGGCCTGAATTTATCTATGTTAAATTCTTTCTGTATCATAAACTTTGGGTTCTCTGAGCCTCTCTAGGGCTGGGCTGTTGTCTGGGCAGTGCACGTGTCAGGCCACAGGAGGAAGAGAGTGGGTATTTTGCACAGTTTAGTGCAAAGACCTTGTTTCTCCTTGGCTAGCAGAGGTGATGCATGTGGGAGGATGAACCAAGTGACCTGGATATGAGAATTAAACTGTGGAGCTGCCTCCTGTAGAAAATGTGTTACCATAGACTCCTGAACACTGGATTCCTGGTTTTTTGGTACTAGCATTTAGTGGATTTTCTAAATGTTCCTGTCACCAGTCCAGATCTGTTAATCCCTGGACATAAGGATTCACAAGGCTGTGATGTACTGTGCTTGACAGTCTTTTCTGATACTGTGATAAATGCTGATGGTATTTTTCTTTTCTTCAGTACTCCTAAGCTCCCTTTTAATTGTTTAAGATTTTGACATTTTAGAGAAATAAAGCTAGTGGTCAGAATGACTCAGACTGATTTTTGTGTCTGACATCTGCTTCATAGTGATCTGTGTAATTAAATTCCACTTAATGACTGATACCTTCTCTTCCTGATACACAGAATTCCCCCAGGAGGTAGCCCCAGAGAACTGGGAAGAACTGAAGCTGTCCACCATTGAGCTTTCCATTGCAACTCGGAACAGGCAGCTTGATCTAACAGTAAGGCCATAACATAATTGGATTCCAAATGCTGCCTGCCCACAGAGTTTTCCTGTCTTGCTCCCATTCTTGGGTCTATATAAATGGCATTTACTACTTCATGCAAGAAGAGATTGAATCCAGGAATGGGCAAGTTTCAGATCCAGTGTGAAAGCAAAAGAGACCAGTGTAAAACTGGGATGCAGTGGGATCAGAAAGAATTTGTACAAGGTTTCAGTAGCCAAATAGAAGTTTTAGGATTTCCCATGAGTAAACAAAGACCAAGAAGCATTCCTTTCCTTCTTCATCTATGTGAGAGAGATTCTCTTTTATCAGCTGCTGCTGGAAGGAAGCTGAGCCTGAATGTTTGGCTGGAATTTTTGATTTCTTTTCTTTCGACTTGCAGAGTGGAGTTAAAAATAATTGGTGCTAGGGAAGGGACACTGATTTGAAGGAAAGGAAGTGCAGGTGGTTGAAAGAATAGAAGCAAGACATCAAAGGAACTGTTCCTGTCATAACCTCCTCAGCATGTTCATGCTGTTCATTCAGTGTTTTAGAACCTGTATTTGGCTTATGCCTGTGTTTTGGTGCAATTTTACTGCTGTGAAAGCTATTTGGATAGATGTCAGTCTGTGTAAGCATTTTCCTGTAAAATTAAAGTGATCCTATACTCATGAGCTTCCCTGCATTTCCTCCTCAAGGGTGCAGGAAACCCTTGCCACTATACCCATGTTAACATGAGGTTAACTTACCACAACATTTTTCTTCCTTAGAAGTCAGGGTCTTTAAGAACATGAAAATGTGAGTTATATTGATAGGTTATCTTGTAGGATCAGAATAAAAGAACCCAAACAGGCCAATATAGTTCTTTTAATGTTCGTCTGGTTTCTCCTTAGAATATAGCACATGAACTTAAGTTTCTTCTTCATCGTGGTTTATGATTTGGACTGTCAGTGTCCTAGTAATGGTAGAAGCTAGACAGATACTAGTATTTGGGTATTTTTTAGTGGTTTCTAGGTGGCACTTGAACACACAGAGTTTTGGTTGTTGAACTGGATTGGAGCCAGTGATGTGAAGTAAAAGACCTACCAAGAACAGGAAAAAATATATGATTGCCACAAACTAGCCCTAGCCCTTACACTCTTTCTGTTGTTTTGTTTGTTTTGCCTTCCTTAGGCCTTCAAGATGCACTTCAATATTGCTTTTTAAAATAAGGGATGTAGGGTTCTCAGGTCTCTTGCATAGCCTAGAAAAATTTACAAGTTCATGTTAGACCAGTTGTCCTTTCCCATTTCTAGAGTTGGAAGTATCTTGATACAGCGTTTCTTTTTCTACAAGGGTGGATCCCTTATTATTGCACTGAAGTGCCTCTCTTGAAACCCTTGTCCCTGTGGCCCTCAAAGCAGCTCTCTGGAATCAATACCAGGCCATATCTGCTGAATGCTGCCAGCCACTCCTGTCTCTATGTCTCTCCTCAGATTCTTGCAGAGGCTGCCCCATTGAAGGGAAACTGATAAAGCCATACAGGTGCAGCTCAGGCAGTGCCTCTGCAGAACAGCAAAGGAATAAACCAAGTTACACTAATAGATGCATTGATTTTTACTTTTGTCATTTTGATTGCATCTGCACACTATGACTTTGCCAGGACAAAAATATTAAAATACATTAAAAAAATAAGTTCCAACTTAATCAAAATTGCTTTCCTGGAAAAAGCTCTACTGTATACTCAGTTTAAGGGCAGGCTGTAAATAGGAAAGAAGCTAAGTAAGGAGTTTAAAGGATTGTTACCAAGGTCACTTTGATTTCCAATTTGTATTGTTTAGAATTCTCTTACTGTGATATTTGGTGGCCAAATATTGTATCATTGTACTATTCCTTAAATTCATGAAAGACCCACTGAATAGAAATTTAATAAGTAAGCCTAAGGGATCTGCTATTGTCTTTAAATGTAACAAGAAGCCAAGCGTGTGACTCACTGTTTTGCTTCTTGGGATATTTATTGAATATTCATTAATGGGAAAATACTGTCAGTAATTTCTAATTCAAACCTCAAGTTGAGATTTGAATAAAGCATGAAATGCAGAAATGCATCTTCTGCCTCCTTTTGCGGGACAAAGGACTGGCCATTGTGTGAACATATTGCAGTATCATGGGTGTGGCATTTTCAAATGTTAACTGTTTGATCTCTGAATCCTTTTTTGCACAGCGCACTGAGGACTTCATGGACATTTGCATCGAAGCAGAGAGCGTCAGCAAAGGGGAGTTTGTTCACAGAGGGTGAGTAGGGGAAGGCTGCAAAAAGGGGACAGAGTCTCTGAAAAGTGTGCTGGTTTTCTCTCATAATGTCCTGCCAAATTCAGAAGTAGAGGATTGCAAAGCACACCAGTCAGTACTGGTTCACGGAGACTGGTACTTTTGTTCTTTAAAATTCTTACTCATCTTCTGTTTCTGTAAACAAGGCAGAGCTCCAGAACCAGGAGTTCTTCCTAGCTTCTGAGTTTGCTATACCTTTCATCTTTTCCCCTGCTGCTGTAAGTCAGTACTGCTTGGATATTACTGTCCCTACTGAGTTTTATAGGCAGCTGTGCAGACTTAGCCTAGAATCTTTTAGCCCTAGCTGCTCAGTGGATTGAGAGCTGGGTCACAGAGCTGGTTGTTTGTACTGGTGGTACCTGGGAATTTTTGAACTGTGTTTAGACAGGCCCTCTTCTAAGAAAAGAGCTTCCTTGCCTCAATAGCTCTTGTGAGAAATCGGGTCTGAGCTGGAAGAACTTTGGAAGATGTGAATTTAAACAGGAACTTCAAGCAAATGTATTGGTCCTGCTTGTATGTGGAATAAGAAAGGCTGCAGGTATGAAGCAGTAGAGTGTGGAGAAAGTGAATGTTACTGCTTCCTTTATGCTTGTGATGTTGTCTTGTAGTGTGCTTGTTCCTCCTGCTCTCACAAGAAGCAAATCAGAGCTGCCTTTTTCAGCTCCTTCTTTACATCCCACTCACAAATACATTGTGTCTTCAATGCAGGTTTTACCAGCAACAGATTTTCCTGCTAAATCCAGGGGAGCTCCTCTCTGTATTACCTTTTAATTTGCTGTTTTCTCAGTCTTTGAGCTCCCTCTAGTGAAATCAATGGGAGGATTTCAGTGCAGTTTTACCTGTTTGTCATCACCCTAATAATTCCTGCAAGATACTTGTTTATTATGCTAATGGCAACTCAGGCCCCTTATTTGAGCCTCCCAGAAGCCTCGGTGGGAATAAAATCTTCTGACTTATGCATACACTATAAGTCAGGTTACCACCTGCAGCTGCTTTCAAATTGCATGAGCATGTGGACCGTGGTTGCTTGCCACTGATTTGTTGCTTTGAAGGCTACACAGGGAAAGGAGGAGGTAGTTTTCCTGTCAGAAGCAAGAGGAGTCTGGTCTTGTAAAGGAGAGAGATAAAGGAGATGCTATTCTGTATTCTCAAACACTTTGCTAGCAGAAGAATGTAGATGAGCTTGTGTGACTTGAGGGAGGCATATTCAAGTGTATTCCCAGTGTAAATAATACCTCCTGTGTTGACTGGACATGCTTGCTGCAGTAGTATGGCACATTTTGTGACTGCAGTTACAGTGTCATGCAGAAAAAGCCTCTGGGGAGCATGGGGAGCATTACCATTGCCCTGCTGTTGAGAGCTAATTAGAGGCAGTACTGAAAGCTTTGAGCTGTTCAAGCAAAGTTCAGAGAAACTAGCTCTTTTGATTAAATAGTGCCAAAAAGCCTGTAGGTAACAAAGAAAGACAAAGAGAGGTGTGGGGGGTGGGGGAGTAGTGGGAGGGGATGGTTAGTTGTACAGAGAGGAGTCAGAGCAGAGAAAAGGTGCCCTGTTTTTTCAAGGCAGAATCAGGGTGTTCAGAGGTCCCACTGTGCCTTTGCCAGCTGGATTTGAGTTAAGCCCATTATCAGAGGCCCCCTATTGCCTAGCACCAACCGGGTTTGTCTTTGGAAATGTGTGAAACAGCTCTTTCTTTTTTTCTTCTTTTTTAGTGCATAGTTTAAACACCAGAATTTGGGGGGTTGAAAAAGGTTTTTAGGGGAAATAACCCCTTGATATCTGCACTGATAAGGTTTTAAACTGGAGAGGGCATGACATGAGCTGATGAGAGCTGATGGGTCACACAGAGAAAAACCACACATCCAGCAGGAAACTACCATGGAGGCTCAGGCAGTGTGTGTTCATCTGGGGAGGTGTGGGGGTGCATCAGTGTGCTAGAGGGCAGCTGCTGTTGGATTTCAAATAAAAGAGGGGGTCATCCCAGGTGTATAAAAGTGCCCTCTGGCTGTGGATCAGATCTGTGTGAAGAGCATCCACAGCAGTCATAGAGCTGATGTTTAAAGGAGGTGGGGGAAGAAGAGTTGTGTACAATGGAGTGCTTACTAAGAAGTGCTGCAGGGAAGGAGAGCAGGCATGGAAAGTGTGGCAGCAGTAATCCCTGTCATGGTAGCCAGTTTAGGTTCTGTACGTGAAAGTGTGGAGAGCTGTCACTCCAGGGCACAATTACAGTTATCATCTACAGTGCAGAAAACTGGGGTTTTTGTTAGAGGTCTTACTCTGAATCACTTAACTTCCACATGTGAAAATGAGGTTCCAGTTGTGTGTTACATGCAGTAGTAGATATTGGTCTCTCTCTGCCTGTATTTTTGTGGTTCAGCATAGATTGGGATGCAATAATCAATGGAAACTTGCTGTTAGACTACTGGTCTTGTTCCTGTTTCACATTGCTGTTTGGTCTTGAATGAAGAGCAGAGTCAAAGGGAAATGAATTAAGATGGGGCAATCACTGCTGGTGGAATTGTCTTACTTGCTTCTACCAGTGTTCTCCTTTGATTAATCTTTAGTTCTATGTCTTGGCTCTTTTGAGTTTACCTTGACCCCACAATTACATCTCTGTAGAGCTTCATACGCCTTCATTGGCCAAAAAAATCTGCTCGCTCACCAGAGTATGCCTTGTATGTATCTAGGATCTTGTATGATAAACTCCAAGCAGGTTAAACTTTAAGTGAGGAATCTTGCTGCTTGTTTGAACAGCACTGTACAAACTGACAGTATTGCATGCCATCAATGATTTATAATTTATATTGCTGGAGGATGTTTAATTCCCTCACAGTCACTCATCAATCTTTTAGTGTATACATATTTGATTAAAACCAAACTTTCCACAGTTAATATTGCTTCTGTCCTTCCCTGCCCTTTCCTTTGCTTTTCTTCTTTTGTCTTTGATTCTCATCTCCTGTTTCAACCCTCTCTTCTCATGTTCCTTCTCTGGGATTTTCTGTGACTTTAGAGGCAATGCCTTCCTCAGGGCATAGAAGACTTGATGTACAGGGAGATTCTGACATGCTTTTGTGAGTTCTTTTCCTAGGCAATATCTAAATACAACTTTTTTTCATATCAGTCTAGAGATGGAAATCTGGGGACAGCAGGCATTGCCTGTCAGAGAAATATCTGTGATAATTCTGCCGTGCTTGAGAGTTGTGCTGTATTAAGACTGTAATTCTGTGCTGTTCTCTTTGCTGTTTGTGTGTTGCTGTCTTCTGGAGAGGGGTCCAGACTGAGAGGCTGCTGCCGGGGTGCAGTGTACCCTTTGCCAGGGGTCAGTCAAAAGCTTATGTGTGTGGCCAGTCAGGAGACCAGAGGGAGGTCAGCACAGCCCAGAGCTTGTGGTCCCTCTGCAGCAGCACTTGTGGGCAAAAGGAATCACAACTCACTGTTCTGTAACAGCTGAACCAGTGACAGGACAGCAGCCTAAGCCTTGAAAAAGACCACGTGGCACTTGCAACACTACCTTTCCAAGATAGGAAACTGCATTCTATCTGCTCACTTTAGACATCAGCAGAAGTAGGAAAGGAACAACATTTAAATAAGTACAGTACATAGACAAGAATCTCACAGGCACCAGAAGAGAGAAACTTTCAAACTGGATATGTTATTTGGAATGGATAAAATGATGGGGATTTCTTCATGAGTGATAACAGAAGCAGCTGATAAGAAATGTCATGGTGATTGGTTTTGATATAAAAATGTGGGGGTTTTGTTTGTGTCTAGGTGATAATTTAATGGTTCAATGTAACTATAATTCTATCTTTTTTTGGCTTAGGTTGCTTAGGTTGCTGGTAAGTTTAGGTGCATGAAATATGAGGAGATGGTAATCATTGCAGGAAGTGCACAGTTCAGCATGGAAGTGAAGAGCACAAAACTGTGCTCAGTGTTCAAATATAATTAGTGAGCCTCAGAGCAGAAGCTGGTTGGAGTCTGTCAGTCCATTATGATATGCATTGACTGCATCAGAAGAGGGAAGGACTATTCTACTTTTTTCACAGTTAAACACACAAATATTTGTGTATATAAACTCTAAGTTTACCAAATGCATAGTGATTTACCACAATAAAATGTCATCCCTGAAGAAGGCTGTTTCTGAGAGAAGCAAGTCCTTACCTTACCTGTCTTTTGGTTTGAACAGAAGTCAAAAGATGCGTGATCCACTCATGTGCCCTGAAGGGAGTCAGCGCATCCAAGCCAGCAGATGTATCTTGCAACTTCCAGAGGTGAGGAGCTGAGAGAGCTGAAAAACTCTTTCACTTCGTTTCTCGTACCTGTTGATGCTGCGCTTTGAGAAATTCCTATTCTAAATCAGGGAGATTGATTACACTGCAAGTGGGACACTCAGTTCCACAGTGCAGCCAGTGAGTCCCTTGCCAGGACAGACATACTGAAGTTCCCCAAATTGTCTGTAAACCCAAAGGGGGAGCTTTGTTCTGACAGGAAATAGTGGCAGATCTTGTATGAAGACAGTCATGGTGGTTAAAGGGTCTCTTACTTGAGTGTATTGTCTCACCTGAACACGAAGAAGAGCTTATTTACTGTGCAGATAACCAGGCACTGGAATAGACTGCACGGAGATGTTGTGGAGTCTCCCTCACTGGAGATACTTAAGAATCATCTGGACACAATCCTGTACATTGTGCTCTGGGATGACCCTGCTTGAACAGGGAGGTTGGACCAGATGATCCACTGTTGATTCAAACATTCTGTAGTGCTGTAATATGTGGATTTTCTTCTCCTTAGCGCTGAGGATGTGTACATTTTGCCCTAGAAGGCATTGTGCTGTAGAGAAGGTAAATATTGGAGACAAAGGAGGGTAAGATAGGGCAGGGGAGCTGAGATCAGTATGAGGAAGTGCCTCAAAACTTTGAAATAATGAAGCTGACAAAGAAGACAAAGCTGTGCCTGCCTGTGTAATTTAGATTCATCTTTTCCTGCCTCTGAGCTGTTATTGCGGCCCTGGGAGGACAGTTTCTTGTTTTTACAAGGACATGAAATCAATCTCGTAGATAATTTCTGTTTTCAAATGATCTGTCATTTGGCAAAATAATTCCATATTAAGGGATAAAGAATGTGTTGAAAGGCAAAAAAAATCTGTTGCTACCAAGTAAAAATTATGAATTATGATGTCATGATTAACCAGCATCCTAATACTTCCACTGAATTCAGATCATGGTAAATTAGGGATTCTGAAAGAATACTCTGCAGTGCTGGGCTAAGTACAGCTGGGCCATATACCATTTGTGGTATAAAATGAGCTGTTCATACTGCAGCTGCTGCTAAGATCTTCAGAACATGGGTGCATGGTACAGAGCAGTGCTGTTTGATTCCATGGCCCAGCTCCAATGAAGGAACTGGAGGCAGCCCAGATGAGTCTTACCAGCTTATGTTGATGGAGTGGACTGCTTTGTACCAGAACTTGTACCAGTTCCTCCAGTCTGTGCTGCTCTGGTGTCCCAGTTCCCTCAGAGTTGGTTTGAGTACCCACACAGCACAGCCCTCCCGTGAGTCAAAGGCACACAAAGCAGTCACTGAAGCTGTTTTTAGGTAAATCAGCTTGCCATTTTGATGAATGGTTTAATCACATGGTGACTTTATCAGCATTAAACACTTGAGAAAATTCTACTGCTGAGTAATTCCTGGCCAGTAAATTACTTTGCATCTCATGTTTCAGATCAATATAGTAAAAGAATGCTGAAAGGGGTTTTTAACATGGATTTAATAGAAGTTACTTAACAGGCATTTCTGCAGATTAGTTTATGTCACCACTGGCAGACCCAAGATCTAAGTGCACATAATTGTAGTTCCAATAGAAAAGAATCCTTCAGTATAAACAATGTGGGTCATTAGAGCTTCCTAGTGTTTAATTATCACTAATTAGTAACTAAGTGAGGTAACCTCTCATGCACCAGACTCTTAATACATTCTGTGCAGTGAAGGATGGGTCTCCCTGTGTTGTGGAGAGAAAATGGGCTGGAAGGCAGAGGCAGGGGGTCATCTTGGTTGAGACTGAGCTAAGTATTCAACTGTTTTATTAGTAAAATCAGCATTACAGCTTGCTGAAATTATGTTTGATGTTTACCTGTCACTGCACACAGGGCACTGAGGGATCCTTTGGCATTGATAATGAGGAGTATGAAGCTATGCCTGTGGAGGTGAAGCTCTTACCCCGCAAACTCCGGTTCTTCTGCGATCCCAGGATGAGAGAGCAGCTGCTGCAGGCAGCGGTACAATGAGAATTCAGGGCACATGGGCCAGTGCTCACCAGTCTTACCAGGGTCTCTTCAAGGCTCATGAGACCTAACTAACTTGATTAACCCCACTTGACTAAAAAGCCTTTTGGCTATTTTTATGTGTGAGGTACTTCCATTGGAAGTATATGATTTGACTGGTCTCAAAGGGGTTAAAAATGCAAATGAAAATTCTGAAAAATGCATGTTAACTTGATGGCATCTTTTTTTCCACCTCCCCTAAGAAGTCATCATTGTTCCATTTACAGCACTGCAGGCTGAACGCTGTGTGCCAGATGCTACTGCTGTAATGCAATTGTATATTAAAGTAAAATTTAACTATACTTGTCTTTGTGTTATAAGATTTTAGGTTTACTTTACCCATGTAAAAATCTTGCAAAACCTGGGATCCTGGGAAAAAAAATACTTGGTGGGGAGTGATGCTAAGGAATTCTATGAAACATTGGAATTGCCACATTAAAACAGATGTCACAAAATAAACTGGAGGTTGATGATACAAAACTCTGGAGCAAGTTTAAAAATTACCCGTATGTATCTGGATGTTTATGTTAATTTTTTTCATATTGCCAGATTCAGCAGCACAGAGTTCCAGTAATTATATAGTAGAAATGTATTCCTTAGATGAATTTAGGTATATTGCACAGAAGCAAATTGGAAAACATCATTGACCCAAAGCTGTATGAAAAGCTTTGGAAAGCTATTTGGAAAGACTCTTTAACAAGCTGAGTGAGTCTTTTTTTTTGTTTGGTTGGTTTTTTCTTGTTTGTTTGTTTTGGTAAGTATTCTTTTTATTCCTGCAGTAGTATTATGCCAGTAAGGATATCCAAATAAAGTCTATTATTTATTGTGTCTGATTGCTCTTGTCTAATGTAAACAGTGCTCACCACTCCATATGCAACCTCCATCCCCTTGAGCCTCAGTACCATAATTAGTTTTGTTGCTTTTATGAGCTTTTGTTTATAGCTTTGCTTTAATTGCTGAAAGGAAGTATTACTGACTTAGGCAAGCTTACCTGTTGCCCTTATTCTAACTTAGAAGTTCACATGATTCTGTCTTGCTTACTGGAAGAAAGAAAATTATCCTTATTTTTCTGATGTGATTGTCTATAGTCAATGTGTTATGCTGTGGTCTAGTCTAAGTCCAGTTGTTGACTCTGATGTTATCAAAATACAGACCTAAGTGAGTTGGCTTCCAGCAGCTCTGTCAAGGACTGAATCCTGGCAGCCTGTGCTCCAACAGCATCCTCTGCTGGAGACATCTTAAAGGAAAAATGCCTCGAAAGGGGAAGCGGGGTTGGGTATTCTGCATGATGCTGAAACCAAGCTGAATGTTCTTCCCTAGACTACACTGTGGAGAGACAAATTGCCTGAACTGGGTGATCTTTAAAGTCTCTTCCAGCCCTAGCTGTTCTGTAACTCTTGACTGAGACTGAAGGGGATAGAAGCCTCTGAGTTTCTTTTGATAATTATGCTGCTGATAGGACCTGGTTTGTGCTATCTGTGTTTTGGTTTGCAGTAATGAAGAGCGCCCAGTGGAGCCCTGGGTCACTCTCCAAGGAACATGGTGGTTGTGCTTTGCTCTTTTTGCTTGCCACAGAGACACCTGGGACATTGTTTTGCAGCCTCTGGCTCATTCAGAGTCAAAGGCAGTTCTCACTACTGGAATTTTTCCTCAAGGTGACGTTTCTGTAATAAAATCAGCAATGTGTTTTTTCTCCAGTGGCAGGAAAGACAAGGCAACAGCCATTTCAAAAAGGTAAGCTTTAATTGTATTAAAAAATACCCATGTTTTTAGTAAGCAGTTTCTCTACAGAGCCACAGGCCTATGGGAGCAACCACACATCTGCAAGATGCAAACAACATCAGAGCTGTTACAATTACACCCAGCCTGCTGCAAGGGATGAGATGGTGAGAACTGGCTCCTTGTTCATCTGTACCATTTTACAGGGAAAAATCACTAGTTCTCTTCCATAGCTCCCAATGCAATGTGATTCCTTGCTTGAGGGTAACCAAGAGATCCCTTCAGAATTGGTATTGCTGAGGCTGTTCTGATGTTGAAGTACCAAGGATCATCTGAGACACAGGCTGGTATTTAAATATTCATATCCGCATAAGTTGAGTAGCTTGTACAAATACCATCCAAGTAGTTTTTCTCCTTCCTCTGCAGTTCAGAGTTCTTCCAGTATAGGGTAATTCTAGACCTCTGAATTGCAACATTCACAAGGGAGGTGTGAGACACTACATAAAATAGGCAGGGGCTGAACCTGCTATCTAAAATGTTGAGGAAAGAACTTGGTTCTCATGTTTCTGTCTGACAGCAACACAAAAATCTTCCTTTGTACAAACTCCCAGACAGGAAGGAAGAGTAAAATTCTAGGTTCCACTCATGAAAACACTTAGCCTGGCTTCAACTCTAGAAGGGCTTAAAATACTGTAACATAGATTAAAATGAAGGATAACAATCTAATAATGGACCAGTTCAAGGCACCTGTTTATTTTGACCACATTTAAACATTCCCACTTGAATGACATGTTGCATTAACCAAGATCTAAAATCCTGGTTCACAGGCATTTAGTACCCTCAGCTTTAGACAGACCACACTGTTAAATCAATACATTCCAGTCCCTTGTAAAAGATATTTATGCTGTCTTTTCTCATAATCACTACACCACTGGTTTTGGGAAAGTGGGAAGAAGACAGCAACTAATGTAGAAGTAATGGCTAGGATGAGAGTTTGGATTAGTGTGCATGCTTTGTACCTAGAATTTTGCTTTAGGATAGAGTGCTCTTGCCCTGCTATTCCAGGAGCCACTGCCTTTCCACCTCCCTGACAGAAGCTTGCCTGTCCCTTGCACAGCCTGTGGCCAGGAGGGCCACAGCTACTGCCAGCTTTTTGCTCATTAACTTTGACAGCTGTTAAAATGGGCTATCACCCTGCTTTACTGAATAACCTGTACAGGGAGCTACTTCCTCTTGAAAAGGTGATGGAACTTCTGCCCAGAAGGATGTTGGACAGGCAAGCTCAGCTTCTGTGACAGTCACAACCATTGGCTGTAAGATACACTGCAGTAAGTACCTCATGTATCCTAGAAAAGAAGGTAGTAGCATGTCTGTAAGACAAATCTGAATTCTGATTCCATCAAGTGCCTTTCTCCTAGTATCCATTATAGTTCTTTATTGGCTCTAAGCAGCTTGGCCTAACCTTGCCGTGAGAAGACTTTTGGATGATTTAGATGTCTGGCATGGTGTTGCTTGTTCAGATTGAACTGAGCTTATATGTCTCTCATAAGCTTTACCCTTCAATGCAGATAGTACAAGCAGTAAAAATTCATTGCTTGATTATACATTTCTAGTGCAGCTCAAGTTATGATGCAGTTCAAAAGCTCTTGTTCTCCTGGTTAAAGTCAAGCAAGTACAAGCTGAGAACCTGCCTGGCAATCCAATAATTTGAGTTTTGGAAAATACACAGGGCCACAGCATAGAGCTGGTTACTGAAACCACCATTCAAACTTGGGCTCTGATCACAGCAACTGACCAGAGGCATTACATCCAAGAAACTGAAGGCACCACTGTAAAGTCAAAGGGAGAAGACAAATCAGCAATATCCTACCTTATGCCACATTTTCCTCCCTCTTTTGATTCATAACATACCCAGTAGATGTCTCCCAGCTGCTAGTATGCAACAAAGCACCAATTGAGTGCCCAGGAGTGGATTTTGAATATCTGTACATAACTGTTTTACGTTGAATTATAGTGTCTTCTGGAAAGATAAGACTCAGTTAAACTGGTTCCACAGGACAGTCCTTCATGCCCCAAGCTATAACAATTTTTTTCTATTATGTACCCATTTCTCGAGAACTTTTCACATGTGACAAAAATAAAAGCAGTATCTTTTAGAAAAGGAGTGCAGGTGGAAGCACTTCTGCAGCTAATCGAATACGGAAGGGATAGGAGAGAAAAGTAGTCTTGCTCTGTTTTCTGTCAGACAGCTTCTGAATTTTGTAGCAGTTGCCTGCCAAGAGAGCATTGACAGAGAAGCAAAATTACAAGGAAGAACAAGATAGGCTGTAACCATCCAACTGGATGTAGCACATGGATGCTGCTACAGTAATCTGCTTGCTTTGATGCTTCTGCACCCATACGACTGCTAACAACTGAGGACCTTATTTCTGGAAAGCAGAGGTTTAATAAATGTCAAATAGAAATTTCAGGAGCTTCTGCTTAGGGAGGGGGCTATGTCAGCGCTGTCCTACTAGACCTCATGTTCCAACAGCTTTAAACAACAGTGCTCTAATGCAGAGTGTTAGCCTCTGACTGCACTGACTGTAAAATTTCAGCAAACCAAAGGTTTGTTTCTGTTTAGTTTAGCAAAAGAACTAAAGAAAATAGAAAGTCATTAACAACTGACCACAGCTAAACTATGTAGCAAACCTTCAAGAAAGAGGAGAAATTGCTAGAGACTAGTTTTGGTTCTGTTTTTTTCTTTTGATGTCTGAAGAAGTGACAGCAATACCAGGGCAGCTCAGCTGCCCTGATTCCTCAGGGATCATCACTGCAGGCAGCATGTTAAAACTCAAGTGGAAGTTAGAGGAAAAAAGTGTGGAAGTTGTGGGCCACTTTTGTAATGAAGGTGTCAATTTAAAAGCAAAGCCATTTCTTAAGGAAGAGACTGGTCTTTCCATTAAATGATACTCATCTGTTTTTACCTCTTTCTACATTTTTTCCCCTACATTCTAAGGATGATGATGTTACAGTTGTTGTGAGCAATTGACAGTATGAACAACAGCATATTTTCTTCTGTACAAAAACATCCCAAAGCCTTGAAAAAGCAGTCAGGGGAGTGACTGCTCGGAGACAGGAAAATTGCAGGAAAATTGCCTCCTCCTTTCCCAGAGGGAAACAATCCACAGAGGATATTCTTGGAGAACATTCGCTTCACCTGTTTCAAAAAGGTGCTTGCCTGCTTTAGAGTGGGTGAGATCTTGGTGGTTCAGGCTCTGTCTCATTCTATAAAAGATTAGGACAAATGGATACATCAGCTACAGTTCGGATTCCTACAACGTAAAAAAGCCTCCAAGGGTGCTGAAATATGTAATGATAGAAACAGCAACTAATCAGCTATAGCCACAGTTCAGGAAGAACAGTCAGTTAAAAGCTGATATTGCTGCTGGTTGAAGGATTTGGGGCAGAGCTTTATGTCACACCTCCAGGTACTATTCTTGGCTTTTGTATGGCAAAGGGATTACTCTTTACTGGGATAGCCTCCCTGGAGGTAATGACTAGTCCTTCAGGAATTGAATCCTATTCTTTCCACAGCATAAGA